AATAAGTTATTTGAATTGTCAAATTAACTTTATTAAGTTTTAACGTAACTTAGTTAAATTGTAAAACAATTAACTATTAACATGTTAAGTTGTTAACTTTTTTTAAAATTAACTTGATGGATTCAAGTTAATATTATTTATCAAATTGTTCAGTCTAAATAATTATACATTTCATGCTTCACAAAAAAAATGCCGAAGGAAATATAACAGCAGTATATCTATTGTAATAAAATCAATTTCTGTTTGATTTATTTGCATTAGGTGCCTATGCGTAGATTAAAATTCATGATAAATCAAATGAAACGAACAATTTTCTCCATAGTAGGTAAAAAAAGTTATATATATATATATATATAAATGTTTATTTATATTTTTCGGTTGAGAAACATTTAAAATAATTATTATACATACATATTTATATAAGTACCTATATGTAGTTAAGAATTAAACAAGTTTAATGATAAATATGTAAAAAATATTATATGAATAACAATGATTGTTTATGAAAACTTATTTTATTATATTTTCAAAATTATTTTTTGTAAAGACTTTTATAACTGCATCACTTCTGATGTAGTCGTCTTGGTGACAATATTACGTTTATTTTATTTCAAAGTAGAATACAATGCGTGATATGTGGCACAAAGTTGAATTAATCAGGGAATTTGTTAAAGGTTGTCTGTGTTCACATATTTTATACACAGTAAAATCCATTGGACACTTAGTAGAGTAAGATTTTGTTTACTGCGTGCTAATAGAAAATAAATGGTAAATAATTGAATTAGTATAGATTTTATAGTAATTTATTTTATTTTATAAATTATCTTACTAGCGGGGTATGGGTAACTTGGAAAAATACAAAAGTAAAGAGAAAATCTTCGTCTATTTGCTCACTGTGCTTGTTTTTTTAAAAAAGATAACACGTAATAGAATATCATTAAAAATGCCCCAGCGCTAATAAAACATAATTAAGGTTGGAGAAGACAAATCAAATATTGGACTGTGGATATTGGGTATTGAATGTTACACTTACACAAAGGTACTAATTTAAACAAATATAAATTTTATTGCTTTCCACGGATTAGGATTTTAGAACTTTAAGTTTTAATATTATATCGTGTAATATTAAATCTTATTTAATTTCAGTTGACCAAAACCTTAAAATACCTATCTTCGTACTTGAACATCTACTTCTTTCTTTCTTTTTTTTTCCTTCCGAGTTCCGTTGTAGGCGATGTTTTATCATTACTACTATTTTATTCTTTTATTTTTTTGGATTATATTGTTCTTAATTTCTAGACTTCATAATTTACCGTAATAAATTCTCATCAAGAGTAAGCACATTTCTTTATAAGAAAAAAATAAGATTTAAAATCGAATTTATATTCATTATAATAATACCATGATATCTGTATAACAGAAAAAGTAACTAATTTTTAAAAATATGTTTTGAATTATTAAACTTACATTGTTTGTAAGTTTGCACGGCATTGTCCGTTCGTAGTATTGAATGAACAATTCTATCTCCTCTTTTCCCCTCGTGCTTCCCCGTGAATAGTGGTGAATTTATGGGGGAAGTTCCAGGATGTTTGGGCTCCCTCCTAGACGCCGATATAATTTCAATAAATTAAATTAGATTTAAGTAGATGAAATAAATTTCATCTATTAATTGATAACTTTGAAAGAAATATGATTTTCCAGGACTATTTCTTGATAAATTATGAAAATCCGCTACTACCGTCACTCCCAGTTTCCAATCTCGTCTCTATTATAAGGGTCCTAAAACGAATAGTCGTATGTATCATTATCGGCTGTAGCATTCTAGAATTTTCAGCTAAAAGTAAAACTTATAGTTATTATTTAATTATTTTTTTATCTCAGAACCCTTCGATTGACATCAATATTTTCATGTAGATACTATAAAATATAAAACAAATATTCAGACTATTAAATGTTTGTATTCATTACTTAGCATTATTAAGGTACTAACTCGATTAAACTATCGGGTTCAAAACAAAATTTTATTTTATTTATTTAGGTCGTGGTAGCATAAAGATTTGGTTCATGACCGACGGGTTTGATGTTTTATCCAATAGGTATATTAGGTATTTTAAAATAAATAATTGTAAACAGAATTAATTATTAGACGTGTTAGGTGTTGTTTATTTATTTATTCCGTTAACACAGTACTATATTTTTTATATGACGTATTTATTACTACTTAATTGTAATATAAATTATAATCTAATGTTCAATCGTAAATAATAATTTCGTTAATATTTCTAAATAGTACTTAAATTTAATTGTTTATTTGAAGTGGAGTATTTGAATAAAAAAAAGTAATAAAAACCGTTGGCTAACTCGATAATTTAGTAACTATAGCTGCTTTGTAAGTATAGTAATTACTATTTTGCGTATACCTACCACCAGCCTATGTTAGGTTATAGTTAGTAATGATTTAACGTAAGTATTACTCGAGAATAATGGGTAAACGAAAATATAAATCGATAATTTTCACCACCGGTTACCGGTTTTTCAAATTAAGCAGTTAACCGGTTTTCTTTTGATTTTTGTACCTATTGTTTTTATATCGACTGTACCCTGGGTTTGTCTCTAGATTATTCTTCTGTTGGCAAATTCCTCTCTACGAGATTGCGTTCCTATAACTTAACTTTGTCACCCGTCTCTATCTTGAACTACCTCTCTCCAGTTTCCTACTCCTCATATTTTTACATCTTCTACATTCATATCAGTCCATCTCTTTCCCCAGGTCTTTATCGTAGACTTCTTCTTTGGACTTTCTATTCTATTGATGATCAAATTGTTTCGTTTTACCCTCTCCTTGTTATGTTATCTAATCAATGTATTTTGAAGGTGTTGTTAAATTACAAATCACAGTCATTTACATCTACCTACGTTATTATAATAAGGTTATGCAGTTGGGAAGATGGGATACATAAAGCTATTTGATTTATACCTGTAACCAACGATAAATCATTGCTAACGAAAAACGATTCGGAGAGAAGTTTGGTCATACAATGTTTTTGAAAGGCCTTAATATTTACAATTTTTGTCAAAATTTGATGCTTACTTGTTTTATTGTTTATATCATGATATGTTTTCGTGAAAATATAGAAACAATAAAAGCTTAGATCAGATAAAAACAATTTCAAAAATCTGTTATATCATCACATAATTCATGGCATAAATATATAAATTTATTTTACGATAGTTTAATCAAGACAATTTAACCTCTTATAGTATATGGGCCATGCTTCTAGTTTACCGGTAGAAAATCCTATTATTATCTATGTTTTTATCGGATAATTTACTCAATTTTATTATCAGAACTCGAATAAACGAGCCTATATTTCCATAGGATTTCAAGTGTTTAAACTATAGCGATCCCGCGAAGCGTTGCTCGTGACAACCAAATTAATATTTAAACGAAGTTTATATATACTGGATACGAATAGCCAGTGACAATGAAATTAATATAAATAATACTAAAAATAACGACCGTTTCTTCTTGCTATATAGCGAAATAACGTTTTCATTTTATAACTAAATTAGTTTTTATGGTTTTTATTGCTTAGTAAATGTGCACGTGTTGTTCGTCCGACCGTTAATATAAATGTACTTCTATACAATCCTATGGAAACAAATTAATAGATACTACATTTTTGATATTATATTTTGTTATATTTCTCGATGGATTTATTCATGATTCGTGTAACAATTGTATTAAATATGAAAAACGAAACAAAATTCAAACTTAAAAAAAGTGGTATCACTATTTTTTTGAAAACTATGTATTTAGTTAACAAACTCAATATGCTCGAAATATTTTCTCGAAAACGTGAACTTTCGCTGACATTTTGTTTTCATCTGTACATAAGCAGAATAAAGTAGAAATCAACAAAATCAATTAATTTTCATATTCAAGTTACCAAATTTAAGTTCAGTCCTTTAGAAATTTAGATTTAAAAATCTTGATTCTAGGTATATTGTCAGACTTCATATTTTAATATAATATTATGTTCAAAATTTCAATTCTCTGTTTTTTTTTTTTTTTTTATCACCACAAATAAATGAAATTATAACTTTATTTATTTATGTATATACATATTTTTTTTATAAAAGTTACATTTGATGAGCATTACATATTATACAACGGCGTACTATTATACAGCGATGTATAAGTTATAATATGGTACTATATACGGTGCAGTAGTATAACAAGTTTTCTGGTGGTTTATTCTGATTAATGGCGTAAAATAGCGAACAAAATGCTTCGTAAACTTAAGAATGAAATTTTTGAGAAAGTTACAAAATATAATATATGTACATTGGATCAGCCATTAAAAACACATCATTATTTCACCATTAAAAGTTTTACGCGCGTTCAAAAGAATACAAATTGTTTCCAGACCGATAGGTCGATATATTTCTAGAGCTTCCCGTCACTGGAATAAAGTGAAATAAGTACACCCGAACGGACTTGTACTTACTATATGATGCAAAATTACCGTACATATTGAAAGCTACCTAAACTACCTACATATTTAATGCTTATTCATGCTATTCGTTACAGTATTATCGGAAGTTTTTTCGTTAAAGCGGCCGGCGATTCTATCGGTCCGACTATTGTTTTTTGCATCCTTCTGTAGGTAATACCTGCACTTATGAACGCCTGTATTCTTCACCTTCTTTTTTATAAAATTAGTCCCACATTCGTAAATCGTAACACACTGGATGTATGTTTTCTTTTCTAATCATAAAAAGTAAAAATATCCTAGGATCCAGATTCGTATGCATTTCCGTATTTTGATTTATTAGTTTGAAAAGTTACTAAATGCAAGACAATATACATTTCTATGCCATTTGTAATACTTTCAATGTTTTTATATATTTAGGATATTTTTTATAATTTTACTAACATATTATATCCTTTTTTCAAAAATAATGTTATTCCTATGTTAAAAAAAAAAGTTTATAGGTACACTGTCAGTTAAATTTTCTTGCTTCAATCGAGATTGTATAAGAAACGACTGTATTACTTCTGTACCATTATAATGTTAACGGGTATAAATGATTATTTGTTCCCTCGTGGGAGCGAGCGGACGGGCCCGAAAGTCCCTTTCGAGTCGGTAAGCGCACTCCACGGGTCGGATTAAAATCGTGTCCGAATAATACGCATCCCGACACGTCCACGCGTTTGGTCCATATTTGGGTCAGGGACTAAAATATTATAATCAGTAAGTATTTACAGGAATAGGGGTAAAAACCTGTCATGACTACACACAATGTAATAAAATTATTACATTTTATTATCAGCCCCACCGGTACGATTATATAAAAATAATCTATTTCTTCATTTTGTAAATAGAAAATGATAAGGTAGGTAAACATTTTAATATGATGTGTATATTTATTTTTTTCTATCTTTCAATAATTTTTTTACTACAAATTATTTATCCTATTTTCAAGTGTAGCATCTTTTCTTAATAAAAATTGTATAGTTAGTATGTTGATCAGATATTTTTTTATTGTCTGGTAGTTTTATAAATTATAGGGACAAATTAGGAATGTTACGGCAATAACGATCTCATTATTTTTATTTTATTTAGTTGTCATAATTTTGTTAAACATATTCGTAGAGACTTAACATTTACAAAGCTATGCTTATATAACCTTTCCTAGATGTTGTAAAATTTATAAAATAACAAAATGTTTTTACTTTATAGTATGAAAATTGTGTGAACTATTATTATTTGAATGAAAAAAAGGCGATCATCACACTTTTTTAACTTGTAAGTGGGTAGAAGAAAAAGGTAGTTTATTTGTGATGATTTAACTTATTACTGTATGCAACGATAAATCATTGCAAATAAAAAACGATTCTGAGGTGAGTAGTATTAGTCATGTATTCCCTTATTGTCATCAAGATAACCTAGAAATCAACACAAAATCCATTAACCAAAATAATGAACATAGTTGATCTTACATATTTCAAAATAGTAGTTCCGCCGGCAGGAAATTCTGCATTCTGTATGGTACTGTATTAAGAAATTAGAACATTTTTACTTGCCGGAAATGGGTTTCAAAGCAAAAAATAAATATATTTTGTTAAATCTAATGGTTTCTTTGCACTACATCCAGAAGTTTAAAACAATGTTATTTTGTTAGATGCACGTTTAGAAAAAAAAAGTTGTAGGTACTTAAAGGATGTACAATAATAATACTGTTCCAGAGGAAATAAACACCTTTAGCTTTTCTCTGGAAAACTCGAGTACATTTTGTGCTGTATTTGTATAATATTTTGAGATAAAGGAATGCTAGATAGAGGAACGCTCTGTAAACTGCAAGAGTTCGATTTTATTTCTGAGTGTAAGTATAAAAAAATGTTCAAATATTGGAAAATTCTTTACTTATGAAAACATTTTTTCACATTTTAGTAAAAATAATCCGATTTTTTCATATCATACCTTATATTATTAAAATATGTGCATTTTTCGCCTGACATAGTATTTTATATTTGAATAAAAAAAAAGTTTTTAACATTTTCTTTTACACAATTTAATGAAAAAAATGTCGAAATAAAAGTTTAATTTTTGATAATTTTTGTGTTACCTTAGTTACGGGACAAAAACACACAAACACACTGATATTATACTTGTAACCATAGATGTCAGGTTTTCAAAAATCTATTGGGTGTTTTTACAAATGTCAAGTATTCGTGAGGGGCTTTTCCCCTCTCACTTCTTATACTAAATTGTTTATAAACTGGCCACAAAACATATTAATAATATAATATAGGACAATTTTTAATCAAAAACCATGTATTTACGAAGATAATAATTTTTACATATATATTATAAGCTTAAACAATTAAAATAAATACAAATATTTTATATTATAATGCACATTTTTTTTAAACGAAGTTTGGCTATATTTATAATAGTATTAGCGACTTTTTCAATATCCACATTTTCGTATCGATGTACATGAAAAATAGTTATAATGCTGTATTATTAAGATGATTCTGTGTCATTGTTAATCTCAAAAATGTCTTTAACCTCCTTAATTCTGAGAAAGACGTTTTTGCAGTGCAAGATGAAACTGAAATAATTAAGAAAATTTGTAGGAGTTTGGAAAATTTTAATAACATATTACACATATTATCAGATTATTATGAAATTTATGGCGTTTTATAAATTTTGTATAGGTACATTCCTAGATTTTGCAATATCTCTATGTAACATCAATTTATCTCTGTTAAAATCATTTCCTTAAAATTCAATGACATTGACATCGGTGATATGTCTGTCTTCGCCGATTTTAAATTTCTATAATGAACATAAATGATCGATTACATTTTGTTGAAATTTACTATTCAGTGCTGATAGAGTAACATCAATTATTTCATAATATATAAGTTTAAATTTGTCTTTAACTGATAGAGTCGATGAATTGTTCATTATTTTTAATAAATCTTTTTGGTGTTTTGTTAGGTTTTTGATCCTTTAGCTCCGTAATATTCCGTTCCCTTGTCTTAGTTGACATTTTCAGCTATAAGTCATCAAAATCACTTTCTCTTTGCTGTTCAATTGAAGAAATTATGTGTTTAATTTTAATTTTTTTTTCATGAAGTTCAATGATATCTTTTGGAGTTTTGCATTGAGAAGCTCAAAACTCTTAAAAATATTAATCATTACTTTAGTATGAAATAAAAATTCATATTTGAGCAATTTTTTGAGAAAACCACTCCCTTTGGCACCATTTTCTGACCTCTCTTTTGATTTTTATATTATGTTTATGATTACGATTGCCATTTTTATTCAATACTAACAGTTATTTTTTGTTTATTATAATTATATTGGGTGTTCCGCACCAAAAGAATATTTTCAATAGGTGCTCAAACACTTGAGCACCCATGTGCTCGGCGCCTATGCTGTTGCACTGCTCGTTTCAGCTCTGAACAATTTGTAATGAATAATCGTATTAAACAATGTATTAACTAAATAACCTCAATTATCTTGTAACTACAACAGTGCCTACTCGTAAACAGTATCAACATTATTTTTTTTATTTATACATTATAGGATCCCGAAATCAGAGTTGTTTTTCCCTGGGGGTCGCATATCCGGTCTGGAATATTTTTGTTTTAGTATGAGATGTAACGTATAAGAAGTTTGGCGAAAGCGGAAAATTGAACGTAATAAATCTGAAGTTTAGTGTGTCCGCACGTAATTTGTACGACGACACAACGGAGTTCTTATATTATATTCTATATTACGGACGCGACCATAATACTTTGCAATGTAGGACGGCTCCGACTAGGATTGGGACAAAATTTATGAGGATCTCGTGAACTTTACGCGGACCTTCACCGGATTTTCATGTTGACTGCGATTTCTTCGTCGTCCGGACAAAACTTGAGTACCGTTGTATACTGGCAGGATGACGCGTTTTTGATTTTTCCGACGAACGGACGGAGTAAAATATTCAGAATTCAGTCAATTGTGTGATAAAGAAATTATTATTATTTGGAGACGCTTATTCGAAATGTATTATTGAAATTTAAATCAGTCTCTTAATAAGAGAGTTAGTAGGGGTGAATTTTTTAATTTTCACAACGCTTGCATATTGTACATTTTTATAAGTTTGCTGAATACAAATATTTTATAATTTTTTAAATCAGCTTAAGGGCTATAGAAGTGACAAGGTAACAAGTAAGGTAACAAGGGACATTTTTTACTTATTGAAATTAAATTGAATACATTATCACAATTACATTAACCATTAATTGATTGAAAATTTGTCTTATATTATTGGAAATACTTATAGAATATTCACAAAAAAAAAACTCGAATTTTTGAACAAAAATTGGATTTTTTGGATCCTACTTTAAATTTTCATTTCCGGGTTAGGTACAACAGAAGAAATTTTTATGATTTATTCACGACTTATGGTTATTTTTTTATTATACACCCTCGTGTTAAAAATACCTTGGCTGGTCGAAAATGCCCTTGCTATATTCTATTAAATTTTCGATTTTTGAGCTCTACCGAAATTATGATTAATCTGTAAAATTATAGTTTACCGTTATCGTGGTTTAATTGATTTTGTGCATTAAATGCTGCAGCGATTTCCCTACACCGCTGTCTGCTCCTAATTGAATTCCGGTATAACCACAGCACGTGTCTGCGATGACACTATATTAATATTAAAGTGAATTATGATTATAATATTGTAGTATTATACATCGAATATATTGTAATATAGTTCCTTATCCGTAAATTGCATCTCGTGGCGCTGGAAATTATTATAGTATTAAATTCGTGCGAACGAAATTTTCATAATATTTTTAATGTACAGTACAATTATTAAAAAAGAACTGCAAAAAAAAAATAAAAATAACTATTAGGTATATAAATAGTTCGTTGTGTCAAATCGTTTGAAATGTCATTAAATAAGGAAAAATAAAAACATAATCTGAAAACGTATTAAGTCTGTTGAAACCGGAGTATCAAAGCTCCCCCAATAAGTAAATCAACTCGTATAGTTTTCATCGATCGGAGTGAAAATCAACGGAGATCTTTTTTTGAGTTTTAATTATCGTTCGGTGAAAATCACATTCCAAAATTCTATAGACGATAAAACGATTTTTTAAAATTATCATCATTATACAAAAACAGCTTTTCAAATCATAGACTAAAGAATCATTCGAGTTGATATTAGATATTTTGTGTATCATACGTCACACGAGAAGCGATCAGCCCTTCACCCCCTTCAATGATGCGCCTGCTTCATCCGTTATATTTAATACCTATATTATATTCAGGATATTGCTTTTATTAATATTGTACCGTATTTTAATTTAGTTGTACAATCTACAATAGTGGTCTTTTTTTTCCGGGAATTTTTCGTCGTCCAGAATACATGTTTTTAATATTTTTTTTGTTTTATTCGTGATATTAAGGCATTGGACAAAAATATATAATATTTTGAATAAATCGATACTTGTGTACACACAATGATTTGCACCCCCGCGCCGGTCACATTACTCTCCATTATTACTCTCTATATTATTATCGTATATATTTTAATCCTATAAGAAAAAAAAAATATTCCGGGAATTTTCGACCGCAAAAAAATTAACTTGTTTTATGTGCATTTATTCGAATATGTTCCGAGAGCTAAAAAACACACGAATAGGTATTTTTTATTTTT